CATTTTGAGTTTATTCTTGTGTATGGTGTAAGTCGGTGGTCTAGTTTCATTTTTTTTTGGCATGTATCTATCCAATTTTCCCAAAACCATTTCTTGAATAGACTATCTTTACTCTATTGTATGTTCTTGCCTCCTTTGTCAAATATTAATAGACCATAATGGTGTGAGTCGATTTCTGGGGTCTCTGTTTTGTTCCATTGTTCTCTATGCCTGTTCTTGTGATAGTACCAGGCTATTTTGACAGACAACATACTTTGTATGGTTTCAATCCTTTTAAATTAATTGAAACTTGTTTTGTGACCTAGCATATTATATATTTTGGACAATGTTCTGTACTTGAAAAAAAGTACAGATTCCACACTGGTTGATTGAAGTGTTTTATAAGTGGCAAATATAGTTGGTGGATAATGTTTCTTCCCCTCCTCTCAGTTTTATTGACATACTAGAGGCCCGGTGCATGAAATTCATGCATGGGTAGGGTCCCTAGGCCTGGCCGGTGATCAGGGTTGATCAGGTTCCTCGCCTCCCTGCCTCCCCACCTCCCCACCTCCCCACCTCCTCCTTCCCTTGCTCCCTCAGAGCCCCACCACCATCGCTGCTGTCGCCCGCCATGTTCTGCGTTGCCCCCTGGTGGTCAGTGCACATCATAGCAAGTGATCAAACTCCCGGTCTCACGGTTGAACTCCCGAGGGGACACTTTGCATATTAGCCTTTTATATATATAGATAATATAATTGACAAATAAACTTGTGAACTATTTAAAGTGTATGTTGTGAGGATTTGATATGCACACACATTGTGAAAGAATACCTTCCACTTAGTTAATTAATACATCCATCACTTTACATATTAATCCTATTTGGGACAATATTAAGTTCTTTCTTAGCAAATGTCAAGTTCAGTTACACAGTACAGTGTTATCAACTATAGTCATCATATCCTACATTAGTTCCTCAGAACTTATTCATGTTATAGATGAACTTTTGTACCCCTTTACCAATTTCTCATTATTTTTACTCCCAAGCCCCTGGCAACCACTTTCTACTCTGTTTCTATGGGTTTCTCTTTTTATTTAGGTTCCATAGTAAAGTAATACTACCTGGTGTTTGTCTTTCTTTGTGTGGCTTATTTCACTTAGTATAATGCCTTCTACATAGCTGTTGTAAATGGCTAGATACTGTTGTTAAAGTCTTCTATATCCTTGCTGGCTTTCTGTCCAGTCATTCTATCAGTTATTGAGAATGGCGTAATAGTATATCTAACTTATGTTGAATGGTCTGTTTTCCAATTGTGTTGTCAGTTTTTGCTTCCTAATTTTTGGGGCTTTGCTGTTTGTTATGGATACATTTAAAATTGTTGTGTCTTTCTCATATATTGATCTTTTAATTATTAAAAATATCTTAATGTCTATTAATTTTTTTGTCTTAAAGTCTATTTCAGCGTATAGTAATATAGTCACTCATATTCTCTTAGGGTTATTGTTTGTATGGTATATCTTTTTCCATTCTTTCACTTTTATGTGTGTGTTTGTGTTTTTAAAATATATTTTTATTGATTTCAGAGAGGAAGGGAGAGGGAGAGAGAGAGATAGAAACATCAATGATGAGAGAGAATCATTGATTGGCTGCCTCCTGCACGCCCCCCACTGGGGATCGAGCCTGCAACCCAGGCATATGCCCTTGACTGGAATCGAACCTGTGATCCTTCAGTCCACAGGTCAACACCCTATCCATCGAGCCATGCCAGCTAGAGCTCGTGATTTTTAAAAATAATTATTTGTTGTTGAAAGTATTACATATATCCCCATTTCCCACCCCCCCCCATTGGCACCCTGCAGCCCATCCCTGCCCCTCCACTCCTTTTGGATTTAGGGTGTGTCTTTTGTAGACAGCATATAGTTGGGTCTGTTTTTATCCAGTTTGTCAGTCTCTGTGTTTAGTCCATTTATATTTAATGTAGTTATAATATGGTTGTATTCGTGAATAGCCAATTTGCTATTTGATTTCTCAATGTTTCATATCTTTTTTGTCTTCTTTTCCCCTTTTAATTCTCTCTTTATGTGCCAAATATTTTTTAGGATACCACTTAAAATTTTTAAAAAAAATTTCAATTACAGTGTGCATTCAATATTATTTTATATTAGTTTCAGGTGTACAACATAATTTAGGATACCATTTTAATTCATTTTGATTAAAAATATAGCCCAGGCTGGTGTTGCTAAGTGATTGGAGCGATGACCCATGCACTGAAGGGTTGAGGGTTTGATTCCTGGTCAAAGGCTTATACCTGGGTTGCAGGTTTGATCCCTGGCCCTGGTTGGGAGGCAACCAATTGATGTGTGTCTCTCACATTGCTATTTCTATCTCTTTCTCCCTCACCCTTCCTCTCTGAAATCAATAAAAACATACTATTAAAAAAATTAAAAAAAAATTTTTTATTGCCTGGCCAGTGTGGCTCAGAGGTTGAGTGTTAACCTATGAACCAGGAGGTCACAGTTCAATTCCTGGTCAGGGCACATGCCTGGTTTCTGGGCTTGATTCCCAGTAGGGGCCATGCAGGATGCAGCCGATCAATGATTCTCTCTCATCATTGATGTTGCTATCTCTCTCTCCTCTCCCTTTCTCTCTCAAATCAATAAAAATATATTTAAAAAATTTATTGGTAGAAATGACCTACTTGTTGAGTCATTGTTGCCATACTTTCCTTTAATTCTTTAAGCATGGTTCTCTTTAGTTCTTTGAATATATCTATACTAATAAAAAGGTAATATGCTATTAGACCGGACATTTTCTGGGTGACCTTCCGGATGTCCTTCTGGACAAAGCCATGTTGGTGGGGCTGAGGCAGAGGCAGTTAGGGGTGATCAGGCCAGCAAGTGAGAGCAGTTAGGGGTATCAGGCCTGCAGGAGAGAAGTTAGGGGGATCAGGCCGGCAGGGGAGATCAGTTAGGGCAGAGGTCCTCAAACTTTTTAAACAGGGGGCCAGTTCACTGTCCCTCAGACATTCCACACATGCGCACTGCGGGCCTGGGACGAGTCGGCTGCTAAGCAGGACAGGCAGCGGTGGCAAAAACACCCAGCGGGCCGGATAAATGTTTTCGGCGGGCCGCATGTGGCCCGCGGGCCATAGTTTGAGGACCCCTGAGTTAGGGGGATCAGACTGGCAGGGGAGAGCAGTTAGGGGGATCAGGCCGGCAGGGGAGAGCAGTTAGGGGCGATCAGGCAGGCAGGCAGGCAGATCTGGTTAGGGGTGATCAGGCAGGCAGGCAGGTGAGTGGTTAGGAGCCAGCAGTCCCGGATTGCGAGAGGGATGTCCAACTGCTTGTTTAGGCCCGATCCTGCAGGCATTGGGCCTAAACCGGCAGGGTCCCAGATTGGAGAGGGTGCAGGCTGTACTGAGGGACAGTCCCCTCCTCCCGTGCATGAATTTCATGCACCAGGCCTCTAGTTTATAATAACTGCTTTGATGTCTTTGTCTGCTAAATCTAGTATTTGGGGACCCTTTCAGAGCCAATTGCTTGCTTTTTTTTCTTTCCTTATTATGAACCACATTTTTCTGTTTTCTTTTGTATGTTTTATACTTTTTTTATAATTGTACAATTTAGATAATATATTGTAGCAACTCTGGATTCTGATTGCATCCTCTCTGCCCCTAAAGCTTGTCATTGCTGATTTTTGTTTAATAACTTACCTATAATAAATCTGTGAAATCAGTTTGTCCTGTGGCATGTGGCAACAAATGTCTCTGCCCTGTTTATTATTGTTTTTATTTAAAGATGCCTTCCCAGGAGTCATCCTTTATGCCAGTCAATGATTGGTCAAAACTGTGCTCAAATACATAGAGCCAGTAATAGGTGGTTTTTTTTTCTTCTGCTGACAGATTTGTGTGTAAATTGGGGAAAGCATTTAAAGTTCAGACCATTTTCAAGTGTGCCTCAGTTTTTATGTTCCCCTGAGGCTTATATGAGTCTAGCCAGGAATGTGTGGATAGTTGGGATCTCTCTAATCTCTGCTACATATCATGCAGCCCCTGCTCAGCCAGAAATACATTGATTGTTTATCAAGCCTACTTATGGCTGTCTCTCCCCCAAGATCTCTTTGTTAAGTCCCCTGCTGATCTGCCAGTCTGCTTGTTTCTTGCCCCCATTGGATCTACAATCTACATTCACTTTGATAGCTTCAGAGTTTTCCTTTGCACTTTTGGGCCTAGGATTTTCTGCTTTTCACTCAGAATGAACTCAATCCACTCTCTCAGCAAAGCTGCTAGTTTTCATGACCTGTTCTACCCTCAGAGAACTACCGCACTGACTTAACTGATAGGGTAGGAAGAGTAATGGGAGCTGGCTAACGAAACAGTGCCCCAGACCTCTACTACTAGAATTTCCAAGTTCAGTAGATTTTCATGATCAATTATTTTTCAGTTTATTGTATGCATTTGGTCAGCTTCCAATAATTTGAGGTGATTTTTTTTTCTTAATCATCACGGTGGGGGGTATGTTTCCATTGATTTTTAGAGAGAGAGGAAGGCAGAGGGAGAGAGAGAGAGAGAGAGAGAGAGAGAGAGAATGAATCATCAATGTAAAAGAAATAGCACAATTGGTTGCCTCCTGCACAACTGATTGGGGATCGAACACACAACCTGGTTACCATATGTGTCCAGGGAACTGAACCCTCAACCCTTTGGTGCACGGGATGACACTCCAACTGAGTCATACTGGCCGGGACTGAGGTGATTGTTTTTTGACAGTTTTTTCCCCAGCTATAAATTTGCTTTTGCAGAGAGGATTTGCCAAACTCTTCACTCCATCATGCTGGTAACTTCCTTTACTTCCTTTTGGTGTTCTTTGAAATGTTTATTTATGTGGTTTTTCATCCAAAGACATACAAAATGTTGCATCAAAAGCATATTATTTTAAAGTTCATTTAAAATGTATTTCTAAGATGCTACATTTCAGTTCCTTTAATGAGTATAACAAAAATTTAATCTTTTCATTGTTACAGATTTCAAGTTCCACCTATAAAGACAGGAATGAGGAATACAGAAGACAGTTCACACAACTACCTGACACAGAGAAGCTGATAGCAGGTAAGAAAGACAGGAAGTTGCAGAAAACCACTTTACTACCTCATTATCAAAATAGAACTGATGAGTGACAATACTCTAGAAAATTACAGCTTCTGTGCTAGACAGAAAATGTTTTTCAATATAAGCAGCATGTTATTCATAATTACACAATGTAAAACTAAATTGTAATTTGAGGAGGGGTGATGTCTGACTTATAAAAATATTAAATAATGGCTAAGAAAATAGAACTAAAGGGAAATGATTTGTCACAATTTCTACTGGTGCTTCTTTCAAATGGTTTTGTAAGAAAAATTTAAATTTGATGTTCAATATATATTATCTTTCCCCAAATAAAAGATACTCCTTAACAGGTTGTAGAGCAATTTTATAAAATTTTCTAGGGCTATATCATTATTCGTGTAATCTTTCAGATAGATGTTTTAGGAGCAGATTTTAGTCATTTTTCTTACAAAAGTGCGTTATTTATTTTTTTTAAATTTCAGAGAGGAAGGGAGAGGAAGAGATAGAAACATCAATGATGAGAGAGAATCATTGATGGGCTGCCTCCTGCATGCACGCCCCTCACTTGGGATCGAGCGGGCAACCTGGGAATGTGCCCTGACCTGGTATCAAACCGTGACCTCCTGGTTCATAGGTTAATGCTCAACCACTGAGCCACGCTGGCTGGGCAAATTTTGCTAGCTTTCAAGATCATTCTGGTAGGAGTGTAGAAGACAGAATAAAGGGTGAAGAGATTGGAGGCTGAATGCTCTGTCAGGGGACGGCGAAGACCTGGTTCTGAAAGCTAGAAGTCTAAGATTAAGGTGCTGTCAAGGTCACTTTCTGGTGAGAGCTCTCTTCCTGACTTGCATGTGGCCGCCTACTCACTGTGTCCTGACATAGCTTTTCCTCTGTGCATGTGTGCACAAGGAGAGAAAGAACCGTTATTTTTAATATAAACTTAATATAGATATTTTACAATAAAAATATAGAACTGTGTTTTTGTTTTAGTATATATTTTATTTAACCATTTATCCATTGAACTTTCTCAGATTTCTGATACTCTTTTGCAGTACTTAATACAACATAACTGAATTTCTAGATAGCTAGAGTACTTTAAAGCCCAGTATTTAAAAAATCATAACAATAAATTAAAGCAACTTTTAAGAAGAACATTTAAAAGTACTACATTCTCATAATAAGAGGGCATATAGTGAAGGTGAGTGGCCCTTCCAATGAAGAGCACTCCAACCTTCTTCCTGGGGGATAACTACCTTTATTAATTTCTTATTTATATTTCCAGAAATTTTCTGTTTATATTCCCAGGGGAATATACATATATTCCTAAGAGAACTCAAATGGGAGCACACTGTGCTTGCTTACTCTTTGAATCTTGTTTAGAGCTCTTTCTATTAGCACTGCTTATGGATCCACTTTATTCTTTTAATGGTTGCTTAATATTCAATATGAATTTTGTACCATAATTTATTTAACAAATCCCCTAATGATGGAATTTTTATTGGCTCCTGTCTTTTACTATTACCACTAATGTTACCTTGAATCTTCTTTTACATTTGTTTTATCACACATGTGCACACATTGTAGGATAAATTCCATGAAGTGGAATTGTGGCAAAAGGGTAATGAACATTTAAAAAGTTTATTGTTGCCGAGTTATACTCCAAAAGGGTTGTACCAGTGTTTATTCTCATCAGCAGTGTTTCTAAGTACCTGTTTTGCCATACCTCAGGAACTTTGCTTTAGCAAGATTTAGTAGATAGAAATGGTGCATAGTCATTGTTTAAATATGCATTTCTTTAATTAAGAAGGAGGTTGAGGATCTATTTATATATCTTTTTCTGTGAAGCTTTCTCTTCATAAACTTTGCTTATTTTTCTAGTGGTTATTTGTCTTTTTCTTAATTTGAAGTAGCTTATTAGATGTTTAAAAAATTAGATTTTTTCCATGTGTGTTGCAAATGTTTCTTGCCAGTTTGTCAACTTGAAGTCAGATACTTTTCATGGAAACCTGTATACTAGTATGAGTATCATACTCATTATTGCTTTATTGAAAGAAATTAATTTGATGACACAGTGTTGTATAAAACATTAAAGCTTTACAAAAAATATTAAATCATTGGGGATCCTACTACCTATAGATAATTTTCGTTAATATTTTATGGGCAGTTTTCTAGATATTTTTTCAGTGTGTATATTTGCTTTTCCGGTAGAAAATCTTAGATAATCTCATTAAATATCAGATAATCTCGATTTGATGGGCGAGTTTAGTAAGGTCACAGATTGAAAGTTAATTGAAGGTAAAAGAAAGAATCATATTAATATATACTTACAATAAACAATTTGAATTTGAATTTTACAAATACCATTTATATCAGAGCCTCCCAATAATGAGGTACTTATGTATAAATCTAACAAACGTGCAGGCTTTCTATGCTGACAACTGGAAAACATTAATAAAAGAAGATCCAATAAATGTTTATGGATCAGAAGACTCAATATTGTTAAGATCTCAGTTCCCTCAAATGAAAATCTCAGCGAGCTTTTTCATAGATATTAACAAGTTGATTCTAAAATTTATATGGAATATCAAAAAAAAATAGAATAGCCAAAATAATTCTGAAAAAGAAGGAACAAAGCTGGAGGTTACACACTACTTGATTTCAAGACATTATGAAGGTAGTGTAATGAAGACAGCATGAGATTTGCCAAATAATAGATACTTAGATTAGTGGAACAGAAAGAAAAGCCCACATAAAAATTCATGCAAATATTGTGAACTGATTTTTGAGAAAGGTGTATATTCAATGGAGATAAGTTAGTCTTTTCAACAAATTACGCAAGATGATTATTTTGCTTTTAAGAAGATTCGTACACATCCAGTCCTGGCTGGTGTGCTCAATGGTTAGAGCATTGGCCCTCCCACCAAAGGGTTTCAGCTTTGATTCTGTGTCAAGGGCATGCACACGGGATTTAGGTTCAATCCCAGGATCCAGTTGAGGTGTGGGTAGGAGGCAACCAATCGATGTTTCTCTTTCCATTTTCCTTTCTTCCTTCCACTTTCTCTAAAAAAATCAATGGAAAAAACATCCTCGGGTGAGAATTAACAACAACAACAACAACAAAAAAGATTCACACACATCTCAAAGGAGCTGAGAAAATATTTACAAGTTTTCTAAAGAGAATGCTCTGAGGAAAGGGAATGGGGGTCTTTTCCCTTTTTGCACTGGAGAAAATCACTTTTTTTTCCAATTTGTATTTGTCTCAGGTTAAAAAAAATAACATGAAAAATGTAAAGTATGAAACATGACAATGGTTATCTTTTGTAATTTAAATACGAAATCTGAAAACAATCCTAAAAATGTTGTTCAAAGGTCTTTTTAAAGCAATGTTCATATTATTGGGCTCCCAAAAATGATTGCTGCTAGAAAAGAATACTTTTGCATGTGTATTTCCTGAATGATTATTTAAAAAAACACATTCTTTTTTTTTTCCTTTTTTAAATTGGGGTGACAATGGTTAACAAAATAATACAGGTTTCCGGTGCACAATTCAAAGACAGTGACTCTGCCAGGACTCAAACCTGGAACCTTTGAATTAGAAGTTCATTGCGCTAACCACACTCTTTTAATTCACTGTCATTTTTCTTATGGATAGACTAGGGGCCTGGTGCATGAAATTCATGCACTGGGGGGGCGGGAGGGAGGGTTCCTCAGCCCAGCCTGCACCCTCTCACATACTGGGAGCCCTCAGGGGATGTCCTACTGATGGCTTAGGCTCGCTCCCTCCTCCCCTTGGGGAGCGGGCCTAAGCCGCAGTCTGGCCTCCCTTTGTGGGAGGCGACCAGGCTGATCAGGGGAAGGCACCAGCCCCATCACCCTGCTGCTGCAGCCACTGCCAGTCACCGCAGCCACCAAGGTTTTTTCATCAACATGGACTCCAGTCCCTTCACCATGAAAAAATGACAACTTTCTTTAGGCATTTTCAAGATGTGTCTTTCATAGGATATGACATTTCTTTCCTTTTTTTAAAAAAATATATTTTATTGATTTTACAGAGAGGCAGGGAGAGAGATAGAGAGTTAGAAACATTGATGAGAGAGAAACATCGATCAGCTGCCTCCTGCACACCTCCTACTGGGGATGTGCCCACAACCAAGGTACATGCCCTTGACCGGAACCGAACCTGGTACCTTTCAGTCCGCAGGCCGACGCTCTATCCACTGAGCCAAATCGGTTACGGCATCTTTCCTTTTTTTTTTTTTATCTTCACCTGAGGATATATTTCCATTGATTTTTAGAGAATGTGGAAGAGAAAGGGAAAGAGAGAGAGAAACATCAAAGTGAGAGGAACACTTTGATTGGTTGCCTCCTGCATGAGCCCTGACCTGGGCCCCGGCCAGGGAGGAGCCTGCAACCTTGGTCAGAATTGAACCCAGACCCTGCAGTGGGCAGGCCGAGGCATTATCCACAAAGCCAAACCGGCTAGGGCAGGATATGACATTTCTTAGCCCTTCAGCAGCGGACCTTTGTTTTTTCCTCCAGGAGTGTGGTAAAAACCCTAGATCACCTTATTGGATTCTTATTACCCAAGTTACTAAGAATATTACCAGTGGCATACAGGTAGCTTAGCCAATGAGCGGTCAGAAAAGGTGTTTCCTCTGTAGTTCACACCGATTGCCGGCTGGGCCCCCCGCCCAGGCCTAACACCTCTGGCCGAGGCTTTAGGCTTGGGCAGGGGCCCCCCGCAGCTCTGATGGCTGGCTCCGCCCCTGCCCAGGAGCCCCCTGGCTCAGGCCCTTCCTACGCTGCTCAGGGCCCACACGGGGCCTACCTTGGAGTGACCTGGGTGCTGATGATGTTCCAGGGACCCAGGCCGCTGGGCACCTACGTATGCAAATTAACCACCATCTTTGTTGGGTTAATTTGCATACTAATCCGATTGGCTGGTGAGCGTAGCGGAGTGACACCAATTTACATGTTTCTCTTTTATTAGTGTAGATATGCCTAAATTCTTTGGTAAAACTAAATAGTACATATTGTTTATTTTTTTAATTTTTTTAATTTAATTTTATTTTTTTAAATATATTTTATTGATTTTTTACAGAGAGGAAGGGAGAGAGATAGAGAGTTAGAAACATCGATGAGAGAGAAACATCGATCAGCTGCCTCCTGCACATCTACTGGGGATGTGCCCGCAACCAAGGTACATGCCCCTGACCAGAATCGAACCTGGGACCTTTCAGTCCGCAGGCCGACGCTCTATCCACTGAGCCAAACCGGTTACGGCCATATTGTTTATTTAAATATGTGCATACTACTTATAATGCAAGCTTATTCTAGAAATATATGGTTCACTCCATCTGTATTCCCATAACACTGTACATATTTCCACTATATCCATTGTTACATTATAGTTATTAAAATAATCTTTGAGTTGGAATCATTCAATTTTGCCAAAATTGATCATATAATAGTAAGTTGATGTACCACATATCAAAATGACTTATGTTGCTTATTGAATTTACTTAATTTTATTCTAACTTTCTAGTAATCAATGATAAAAGTAATAAAAACCCATAAAATTATTTTTTATTTTTGTTAATCCTCACCTGAGGATATTTTTTCCATTGATTTTTAGAGAGTGTAAGGGAGGGAGGGATGAAGGAAAGGAGGAAAAGAGAGAGCGGGAAGGAGGGAGAGAGAGAGAGAGAGAGAGAGAAAGAGAGAAATTGACATTGATTGGTTGGCCCTCGCAGGAGCTGGGAAATCTAACCTGCAACCCAGGTGTGTGCCCTTGATCTGGAATCGAACCCTGACCCTTTGGTGCTAGGACTGATGCTCTAACCATTGAGCATACTGACCAAGGCCATAAAATGAATTTTTGAAAAATTTTTTTATTTATTTCAGAGAGGAAGGGAGAGGGAGAAAGATAGAAACATCAATGATAAGAGGGAATCATTGATCAGCTGCCTCTTGCATGCCCACCCACTGGGGATCAAGCCTGAAGCCTGGGCATGTGCTCTGGCCAGGAATTGAACCGTGACCTCCTTGTTCATAGTTGATGCTCAACCACTGAGCAACACTGGCCAGGCCATAAAATGATTTTTGATAAACGTTACTTTCTTATTCCATTATATATGAATCAGATTGTTAACATGACTCAAATCAGGTAGACTATTGCTTTCTGAAATGCTGATAATTATGAGCTTGTTTATCAGTAAGAAAATTGGGAGCAAAAAAAAAAAAATCCCTTTGCTTTTAAAATATTTTGGTCATTTCTCACAAAGCTATTATATGAAAACTAAATTTTATTGAGGCACAAATTTATTAAAATAAAATATACCTGTTTTTGGGAAACCATTTTTAAAACCATTGTAAAAAGCCTGTCAATCTATATTAAATAATCTCCAGTTAAAATAATCCAGTTGCTCACTGTGGCTTTGTACATAGTTAATGCAGTGGTCCTCAGAGTGTGGTCCACAGAGCAGCCATGTTGGCATCACCTGGGAGCTTGTTTCACATGCAAACTCTTCATCCCAGCCCGGACATTTAATCAGAAGCTCTGGGGGCGGGGCCCAGCAAGCTGTGTTTTAATAAGTCTGCCAGATATTTCTGATGTGAAATTTGAGAAGCATGTGTCAGTGGTTTTTGATAAAAACTTCAGGACACCTCAAGGTGATCTTTAGCCCAATCTCTGTTTTGGAAATGCATACTAGTAAATGAGTAACTTAATCTGCTTAATTATTTGCTAGGATTTTTTGTTTGGTGGCATCTCAGTTTTGTTTTGCTGAAGGAAGCATTTTGAAAGAGTGCATTACTTTGCTCAATTTTCAGTATTTGCTTAGAATTTTAATGACTAAACTTAAATATTTTGAGGTTTATAACCTCCACAAGTTTTCCTAAAATTCCTAATCACTGTATATATAGTTTTAAAGTTTATCAGTTTAACTAAATCTCCTCATAGCAGCCTTTTATATCTTGTATAATTGGTAATTTAGCAATACTACTAGTATTTACATTAGCCAAAGAGTCAGATCTTAATCTTAGAAGCATGGTATTAACTTGTTATAGGCAGTGGCATTTACCAGTACTCTTGATTTTGCTGGATTTTAATGCTGGTGTGGAGAGGATCAACTTTAAAAAAACAAACTAACACACACACACACTTGTTGGAGTTATCTCTCCCTCATCTTTGTCCAACATCTAATTAATCACCAATTTTCCATCAGTACTACCTCTTAATATTTTTGAATTTACCTACTTCTTTCTCTTAATACTGTCATCTTTTGGTCTGGGCCACCGTCAGTTTTCCCTTGGATTTCCAACTGATTTATTTGAATCCATTCTCCCAGTGTGACTAAAGATACAACTGATCATGCCCCTTCCACTTAAAACTTACCAGGGGCTTCTCACCAGGTCCACAGCTCGCCAGGGCTGAGACACCCTCCCTTGCCTAGCTTCTCCAGGCCCGAGATCTGTCTTTGTATACAGTAGCTTAAATGTGCTGTGCTTCTTTCTACCATGGGGCCTTTGTAAATACTGTTTGTTCCCTCATGGTCTCGCTGACCCTTTATTGATCTTTAGGTCTCAGTTTAAAGATTACTTTTTCTGGAAAACTTTTCCTGATTAACTTCCTACCTGCCCCATCCCCCATACCTATGTATGCCTTGTTATATTCTCTCAGAGCTTTCTCTACACTTTGGTCATTATACTTATACATTTATTTGTTTATTGTATGCCTTCCCCTCTAGACTGTGTTCCATGAGGCCAAGGTCCTTTTCTGGTAACCCTAGTGTCTGGTGCACCAAAAATACGAATGAGTAAATGAATAAATGAATGAATGAACGCATGAACTAATGAATGAAGAGTGATGATTTTCTGTGTACTAAAGTAGTATAAGATTTGTTAAGTTGCCATGTTTTTGTGACTAAGCTGTTCCTTATTTGTGTAGATTATGCTTGTGCTCTTCAGAAAGACATTTTGCTTCAGGGACGACTATACCTTTCAGAAAACTGGCTATGTTTCCATAGCAACATCTTCAAATGGGAAACTACAGTAAGACATATTTTGATTTGATATGTTGATACAAATAATTGCAGATAGAAATGTATACAGTACTCCTAAAAGTAATGTACTTTAAATCCTAAAGTAATTTTTTATATATTTGTATATCTATACTTGTATATATGTAAACACAATATGTGTTGTAGAAGTGTGCAATATATTTTTCTTAATACTTTGAGCTCCATGTGTACATATGTAATACAGTCGGAGAAAGATTTCAGATTGAAAAAAGCTTGATTATACATCCTTTTGACTGCCAAAATCATGTCTTATCACAGTCTGAATTGTGTGTGTGTGTGTGTGTGTGTGTGTGTAGAACATGAACACCCACATGTCTTTTCACACTTTATCCTAATGTTAGAGATAGGAATTGAAGCGGGAAATTACTGAAAGGAAGAGTGTCTGACTGCTGACTCTGTTTTTCTGAGAAAAAACAAACATGTAATTAATATGAACTCCTTTAGGTTTTTCTAGTTTGGGTTAAATTGATGTAATACTTGGTGTTTTGTGTTACATGTATTATGAAAAAAAAATCCATTTTGAAATTTTTTTCCTTTTGTGTATTTAGATTTCTATTGCTTTAAAGAATATAACCTTCATGACCAAGGAGAAAACTGCTCGACTCATCCCAAATGCTATCCAGATCGCTACTGACAGTGAAAAGGTGAAAAACTTTTCTCCCTTTGCCTTATTACATAATGTGGAGAAAATCTGCCTATACTAATCATCAGTGTTAGGAATATAAGCAGTTCTTCTTAGAATTATGGATATCTAATCAAGTACATTGAATTTCATGCTAGATTTCTGTATACTTAAATACTTATTGATGGTTAAACGACTGCTAACATTTTTTATACTTTATAGTTTAAAGAGAACTTTATTCCATATTTATCATTTCTTCATTATAAGAAATAGATTAAGCATTAGCAAACCATCCTTATTATTCCTAATACAGTAATAATTCTATAATTGTTTTTTATGCATAATAGTAATACAAACAAATGATTCTGTTGAACAGAGGTTTGGGTAGCATACAAGTAAACGCAATCATTTAAATAATATTTTAGGATGGGAATTATCTTTAACCGCCATCATTTATATTATCCACCTGTAATATCTGCCATTTCTTAGTGGAGATATATGAAGAATCTTTCTATACCCATCTGGAAAATTGATTAGGGCTCTATGTGTGACATTAGGTCACATGTTATGTATGTAATCCTATTTGGAAAAGTTCCTAGCTATGTTCTTGTTATAAAAAGTTTGCTTTTTGGAGACTATTATATAGCAAGGTTTCAATGTGTTAATTAGAAAATTATACTTTAACATCTTTGTATGAAAAATGAAAAATGTAACACCTGAAATATTATTAGTTTGATATTTTATTTAACAAATCAAACATAGGACTGAGCTTTCTCATTCCTGGAAATAAACATTTAATCATAAAAAGTCACAAACTAAGGGAAGGGAAGAGATGATACACAGAAACTATATTTAGTGCTGCCACTTGTCAGATTTTTTCATAAGAGCCTATATTAAAATGTGACTACAAAAATCCACTTAAATGCATAGGACGAAATAGGGTTACATGCAAACATAGACTTATAGGTTGAAACATGCTATTTCTCTCCTACAAAATTCAAAGCAAAGTTTATTGTTAATATGGGTGTTTTATATGTATAATTAGCAGAGATTAGATATTTCTAGATATTTGAGACTATGAAAGATGATATAATTTTTTAAAAAAATATATGTATTTTTATTGATTTCAGGGAGGAAGGGAGAGGGAGAGAGAGAGAGAAACATCAATGATGAGAGAGAATCATTGATTGGCTGCCTCTTGCACACCCCACACTGGGGATGAGGGCACAACCCGGGCCTGTGCCCTGACCAGGAATTGAACCATGACCTCCTGGTTCATAGGTCAATGTTCAACTACTAAGCCATGCCAGCTGGGTGAAAGATGGTATAATTTAAAATTACGATCCTTAAAAATTAATTTATCTCTGAAATCCACTGTATTTTTTCATATTCTTTGTTTATACTTGTCTCAAAGGGCTACCAAATCACATCTCTTTGCAAAGTTTAGAATAAATAAAATTTTAATTTTTTCCATAAATTTATTTAGATTGATTTTCATAGTTAAACTACGGTGAACATAAATAGCAACCTATTTCAAGCTCCTTTCCCTAGTAAATATTGATGAAATTGTATTTGCTGTAAGGTACAATGTGAAAGACACCTTGTCCATGCACCAATTACCTGTTTTTCATCTATTGTAACAAAAAGTTAAAAAGAGTATATAAAGTAGGCGGTGGTGACTTACTAGTTTGCTTTGACCATGGCAAATGCCAACAGAGCTTCATGACAGATACTTTCCCCATTTTTAAAATGTCACTAAAATTATCCTACTCTTTTTATTTTCAGTTTTTCTTTACATCTTTTGGTGCCAGGGATAGAAGTTACCTCAGTATCTTTAGATTGTGGCAGAATGCACTATTAGACAAGGTAAGTGTTCATACCAAAGGCAGGTACTTATTATTACAGCAACCTCCCAGTGTTTACCTAAACAGTGTTTGTGAGTTGAAAAGTTCCTTTTCATTTTTCTGGACTTAATGTTGACTAGACTATTTAAATTCCAAGAAGAAACTTGTAGTTATGAGTTAAGATATTAATTGTAATCCCCAGGGTAACCACCGAGAAAATAACTTTAGAAGTAAATAAAAGATACTTTAAATGACTTTAAGTAGTACACTAGCACTATCTATAACACATAAGAAGGCAGTAATGGAGGAATAGAAGGGCAAAAAAGACATGACATAGAAAAAAATAGCAAAATTGCAGATAGTACATTAAATTGTTAAGTGGATTAAAAACTTCAATATAAGATAGAGATAGGCAGAATGAATAAAAAAATATGATGCACCTATATGCTGTATATAAGAGACACATTAGATTTAAAGGCATAAACTGATGAAACATAAAAGCATGGAAAAATATATACCATAGACAATAACCAAAAGAGAGCTATTACTATAGTAATATCAGACAAAAATTAATAGAGACAAGGAAGAATGTTTTATAAAAATAAAAGGATAAATCTGTCTGGAATTTATAATAATTATAGACTTACATGCACCTAGTAACAGAGCTCTAAAATACCTGAAACAAACACTGTCAGAATCGAATGGAGAAACAGATAATTCAGCAATAATAGTTGGAGCTTTCAATACCTCACTTTCAGTGATGGATAACACAACCAGACAGAAAATCAAAAAGGAAATAGGCCCTGGCCGGTTTGGCTCAGTGGATAGAGCGCCGGCCTGCGGACTGAAGGGTCCCAGGTTCGATTCCGGTCAGGGGCATGTACCTTGGTTGCGGGCACATCCACAGTGGGAGGTGTGCAGGAGGCAGCTGATCGGTGTTTCTCTCTCATTGATGTTTCTATCTCTCTGTCCCTCTCCCTTCCTCTCGGTAAAAAAATCAATAAAATATATTAAAAAAAAAGGAAATAGAAGACTCGAACAAAATTGTAAGCTAACTAGAACTAATAAAAAGATATCTATGGGACACTCCACTCAGAATACACATCCTTCTCAAGTATACATGGAACATTCTCCAGAACAGACCATATGCTAGATCATAAAGCAAGCTTTAATATAGTCAAACGTATTAAAATAATATAAAATGTGCTCTCTGACCACGAAGGAATGAAATTAGAAATCAGTAACAGAAGAAAATTTGGGGAATTCACAAAAAGTAGATATTAAACAGAACACTCCTAAATAACAATGGGTGAAAGAAGGGAAAATTAGAAAATACTTTGAGTTAAATGAAAACAAAAACACACATACCAAAATTTATGAGATACAGCTAAAGCAGTGCTTAGATGGGGATTTATAACTGTAAACACCTATATTAAGCCCTGGCTGGGTAGCTCGTTTGGTTAGAGCATTTTCCCAGTATGCCAAGGTTTTGGGCTTGATCCCTGGTCAGGGCACATAAAGGAAGCAACCAATGAATTCATGGATAGGTGGAGCAATGAATCAATGTCTCTCTTTCTCCCCTTCCTCTCTCTCTAAAATCAATTTAAAAATTTAAACTCCCCCTATATTAAAAAAGAAGAATGATCTCAAATTAATAGCCTAACTTTCCACCTTAAGAAAGAAAAAGGAGCCCTGGCTGGTATGGTTCAGTTATTGGAGCGTTGTCAGGTAGGCCAAAAGGTGACGGGTTCTGTTCTTGGTGTGTGTGGGAGGCAGCAAATTATGTTTCTCTCTCTCTCTCTCTCTCTCTCTCTCTCTCTCTCTCTCTCTTTCTCTCTCCTCTCTCTCTCTCAAAATGGAAGCAAAGAGATGACAAAGATTGGAACAGAAATGAATGAATTAGAGAATAGAAAAATGAATGAAATAGAGAATAGAAAGATAGAATCAACAGAACCCAAAGTTCTTTATTTGAAAAGGTCAACAAAATGGACAAAACTTTAGCTAAATTGACCAACAAATTAGTTAAATTAAATGGACAAAAACCTAGAAAGTCACAAACTATTGAAACTGACTCAAGTAGAAATAGAAAATCTGAATAGACTGATAGCAGGAAAGAGACTGAATTAATAATAAAAAATCTGCCCACTAAGAAAAACCCAGACCCAGATAGCTTCATTGGTGAATTCTGCAAAATGTTTACAGTAGAAAAGACACCAATCCTTCACAAAGTATTCCAAAAATATAAGAGGAGGGAACACTTACCAACCCACTCTGAGTCCAGTATT